TGTACAAACCAATATCTGGTGCTGTCATTGTCCAGGTCGTTCGCGCGGGGGGGTCGTAAGGTGACGTGGTCGTAGTTATGTGTCGTTGTGTTGTTCTCATGTTGTGGTTAATGCTTGGTCGTGTATCTGTAGTCGTACACCGCCACGACCTAAACCTCGGGACTATATCTTTCCTCTCCTAACTTAGTGTGGGTCGTCTGGTCCTGTTACATCCGTGCAGTTGGGTAGTCATATCTGGTGCCCTGCCCTGCCCTGCCTGCCTGGCCTGGCCTGCCCTGCCCTGCTCATTCTGCCCTGCTCTATTCTGCCTCCTGCCTGCTCTATTCTGCCCTGCCCTGCCCTGCCCTGCTCTATTCTGCCCTGCTCTATTCTCCCTGCCCTGCCTGCCCTGCCCACCCCTGCCCTGCTCTATTCTGCCCTGCCTGGCCTGCCCTGCCCTGCTCTATTCTGCTCTGCTCTATTCTGCCCTGCTCCTGTTCTGCCCTGCCCTGCCTGGCCTGCCTGCCCTGCTCTATTCTGCCCTGCCCCTGCCCTGGCCTGCCCCCTGCTCTATTCTGCCTGCCCTGCCCTGCCCTGCTCTGCTCTGCTCCTATTCTGCCCTGCTATTCTGCCCTATTCTGCCCTGCTCTATTCTGCCCTGCCCTGCCCTAGCCTGCCCTGCCCTGCTCTATTCTGCCTGCCCTGCCCTGCTCTATTCTGCCTGCCTGCCCTGCCTGCCCTGCCCTGCTCTATTCTGCCCTGTGTCTGCCTGCTCTATTCTGCCCTGCCCTGCCCTGGCCTGCCCTGCCCTGCTCTATTCTGCCCTGCCCTGCCTGCCTGCCTCTATTCTGCCCTGCTCCTATTCTGCCCTGCTCTATTCTGCCTGCTCTATTCTGCCCTGCTCTATTCTGCCCTGCCCTGCCCTGCCCTGCCTGCCTGGCCTGCCCCTGCCCCTCCCCCTCCGTACTGGTGAAGATCAAGTAACACCAGACAAACAACGACTTTACGCCACTACCACCGAGGCGACCACTCCTTAACGACCCCGCTAACGACTACACAAGCCGATAAGGACTAATTTAAGGAAATAGCGGGAAGTAGTAGAGTGTGTGTGGAAGTGTTTTCTCTCCTCCACCTAAGAGAAACTGGATTACTCCGCCATGTTATTGTATTTCGTTATACATGGGATATACTCCATTATACCAGCCTCCTATACTCCACGTTATACCTCCATACTTGAGATATGTTACACTCCCTCTCCGGTCATACTAAGCATTCCTGGGTCAGTATGTTCTCTTTTGGCACTAAGAGTATGATAATTAGCCAGTGACGTCACGAATGGCGTCATCCTTGTTGGTGAGGTCTGTGTGGAGGCTACATCTAGTGCAGGAGGCGGTGTGGAGGGCACATCTAGTGCGGGAGGGCGGTGTGGAGGCTACATCTAGTGGGAGGGCGGTGTGGAGGCTACATCTAGTGCAGGAGGGCGGTGTGGAGGGCTACATCTAGTGCGGGAAGGGGCGGTGTGGGCATCTAGTGCAGGAGGCGGTGTGAAACTTTTGAGTGCAGGAGGGCGGTGTGGAGCTACATCTAGTGCGGGAGGGCGGTGGAGGCTACATCTAGTGCGGGAGGGGCGGTGTGGAGGCTACATCTAGTGCAGGAGGCGGTGTGAGGGCTACATCTAGTGCAGGAGGTGTGGAAGGCCATCTAGTGCAGGAGGGCGGTGTGGAGGGCACATCTAGTGCAGAGGGGGCGGTGTGGAGGGCTACATCTAGTGCGGGAGGGCGGTGTGGAGGCTACATCTAGTGCAGGAGGGGCGGTGTGGAGGCTACATCTAGTGCGGGAGGGGCGGTGTGGAGGCTACATCTAGTGCGGGAGGGCGGTGTGGAGGCTACATCTAGTGCAGGAGGGCGGTGTGGAGGCACATCGTGCGGGAAGGGGCGGTGTGGAGGGTACATCTAGTGCAGGAGGCGGTGTGGAGGCTACATCTAGTGCAGGAGGCGGTGTGGAGGCTACATCTAGTGCAGGAAGGGCGGTGTGGAGGGCTATATCTAGTGCGGGAGGGCGGTGTGGAGGCTACATCTGGTGCGGGAGGGGCGTGTGGGGCTACATCTAGTGCGGGAAGGGCGGTGTGGAGGTACATCTAGTGCGGGGGCGGTGTGGAGGCACATCTAGTGCAGGGAGGGCGGTGTGGAGGCTACATCTAGTGCGGGAGGCGGTGTGGAGGCTACATCTAGTGCGGGAGGGCGGTGTGGGGCACATCTAGTGCAGAGGGCGGTGTGGGGCTAGTGCAGGAGGGCAGTGTGAGGCTAGTGGGAGGCGGTGTGGAGGGCTACATCTAGTGCAGGAGGGGCGGTGTGAGGGCTACATCTAGTGCGGGAGGGCGGTGTGGGGCTACATCTAGGCGGGAGGGCGTGTGGAGGCTATCTGGGCAGGAGGGGCGGTGTGGAGGCTGGCTAGTGCAGGAGGGGCTGGTGGAGGCTACATCTAGTGCAGGGAGTGCGGTGTGGAGGCTATATCTAGTGCAGGAGGGCGGTGTGGAGGCTACATCTAGTGCGGGAGGCGGTGTGGAGGCTATCTAGTGCGGAGGGCGGGTGTGGAGGCTAGTGCGGGAAGGGCGGTGTGGAGGCTACATCTAGAGGCAGGAGGGCGGTGTGGAGGCTACAGCTAGTGCAGGAGGCAGTGTGGAGGCTACATCTAGTGCAGGGAGGGCGGTGTGGGGCTAGTGCGGAGGGCGGGGAGGGCTACATCTAGAGCAGGGAGGCGGTGTGGAGGGCTACAGCTAGTGCGGGAGGGCAGTGTGGAGGCTACATCTAGTGCGGGAGGGGCCGTGTGCAGGGCTAAGTGCAGGGAGGGGCGTGTGGAGGGCTACATCTGGGCAGGAGGGCAGTGTGGAGGCTAGTGCAGGAAGGGCGGTGTGGAGGCTGAGTGAGGAGGCGGTGTGGAGGCTAGTGCAGGAGGGCGGTGTGGAGGCTAGTGCAGGAGGGCGGTGTGGAGGGGTGCAGGGCGGTGTGGAGGCTGGTGCAGGAGGGGCGGTGTGGAGGCTAGTGCAGGAGGGCGGTGTGGAGGGCTAGTACGGGAGGCGGTGTGGAGGCTAGTACAGGAGGGCGGTGTGGAGGCTGGTGCGGGGAGGGCAGTGTGGAGGCTGGTGCAGGAGGCAGTGTGGAGGGCTAGTACAGGAGGGTGTGGAGGCTACATCTAGTGCAGGAGGGCGGTGTGGAGGCTAATGCAGGAGGCGGTGTGGAGGCTGGTACAGGAGGGCGGTGTGGAGGGCTAGTCTGGGAGGCGGTGTGGAGGCTAGTGCAGGAGGGGCGGTGTGGGGAGGCTAGTGCAGGGAGGGCGGTGTGGAGGCTAGTACAGGAGGCGGTGTGGGGCTAGTACAGGAGGGCGGTGTGGAGGGCTAGTGCGGAGGGGCGGTGTGGGGGCTAGTGCAGGAGGAGCGGTGTGGAGGGCTAGTACAGGAGGGGCAGTGTGGAGCACATCTAGTGCAGGAGGGCGGTGTGGAGGCTAGTACAGGAGGCAGCAGCAGTGTCTCTCTCCGTTGCTGGTGCTTGTCTGTCACTGGGTTGTACTTCATACAACCCACAAGTCATCACACTATACACAATATCAGGCACCACCACTTGCAACATCACCACACAATCACCAACTCGTGCAGGATCACCACACACACACAGTCACCACTCTACGTTAAACACCACGTTTATAACATCAGTCATCACACAGCCGCAGAATACCATCACACAGACACCTATAACACACACACACACACACACACACACACACACACACACACACACACACACACACACACACACACACACACACACACAGCAGGATCACCACAAAGCCGCCCAAATCCCATGCTCATTTGGCCAGCAGCCACAAACCCTCCTTGGCTACACTGTTTCATCGTCTTGGCTTTTGCGGGCATAGATGCCCCCCCCACCCCACCTCCCTCCTCATTCCCCTCGTTCCTCCTGCCCACCCTCTCTTCCCGCAGCTCCTTTCCCACCTTTCCTTCCCCCACGATGATATAATTAAATGTCTTGGTAAATGAACACCCGCAATTGCTCAGGAAAATTAGCACAATAGGCTTTACATCTTGGCGGCGGAGAGGTTATATACGGTGTGTATTGACGCATTGGTGAGGTAGTATGGCAGCTGTTACGGGAATATTGTGTGATAACAGTAAGAGCCAACAAGGTGTTGCAGGAGAACACGTAATCTCCGTGGGAAAAAACTAAATTGGAAACTAGTGTGAAATGTTCAAAATGTTATAAGGAAGAACAATGAAAAAGACCCGCGTTGTGGGCATAACTAAGAGACGAGACACAAGTTTTACATAACGAGGAAAACACACACACACACACACACACACACACACACACACACACACACACACACACACACACGTGACAGAATAAATCAACAGGGAGGTAAATTAATGAGAAAACGACCAAAAAAAATTATTAAAGAACACATCGTGGAACATAACAAACTGGCATGAACACAAACTATACATACATGTGACGTCTTATACATCAACACCAATCTCCGGTATTTTTTGACCTGAATGATGGATGTCTTTACCTCTTGAGGGATGTTATGAGTGTGGTCCAAGGCAGCTAATGACCACTACACACGCTGCTGCTTCCCCTCCAACACTTGCCTCCACCAATGATTATTTCTCATCATTGAAGACAAAATAAATAACATAACTCGTTCACTTCACCAAAAAGAACTGATAAATCACCAATAATTATCATTTATTAGTCTGTACGTCCATAGTATATATACTCACTTAGTATCTATTAAGGTCAGAAAATATTTTTCCGTAATATTTTGTCACTTTTCTGGTGTTAAGTGGAATCATTAAGGTCAAATCCAAGTGTAAATTTGATGGTAATTTTTCATATATTTTTGTTGTGTGTATCTATGAGCTAGTGAAGGTAAGAATCTTTATAATGTGGTATACAGTATGTGGTGTCTGTCGCGTAGTTGGTGTGGAGGTTGACAGGTGGAGGTCAGCATGTGTGGAGGTCGGCATGTGTGGAGGTCGGCATGTGTGGAGAGTCGACATGTGATGGAAGGCGAGTGTGGAGGTCGGCATGTGATGGAAGGCGAGTGTGGAGGTCGACATGTGATGGAAGGCGAGTGTGGAGGTCGGCATGTGATGGAAGGCCGAGTGTGGAGGTCGGCATGTGATGGAAGGCAGGGGTGTGAGGTCGGCGTGATGGAAGGCAGTGTGGAGAGGTAGGCATGTGGGGGAGGCGAGTGTGGGAGGTCGGCATGTGATGGAAGGCGATGTGGAGGTCGGCATGTGATGGAAGGCAAGTGTGGAGGTCGGCATGTGATGGAAGGCGAGTGTGGTAGGCATGTGGGGAGGCGAGTGTGGAGGTCGACATGTGATGGAAGGCGAGTGTGGAGGTAGGCATGTGGAGGCGAGGTGTGGAGTCGGCATGTGATGGAAGGCGAGTGTGGAGGTCGGCATGTGATGGAAGGCGAGTGTGGAGGTCGTGATGGAAGGCGAGTGTGGGGTAGGCATGTGATGGAAGGCGAGTGTAGGTCGGCATGTGATGGAAGGCGAGGTGGAGGTCGGCATGTGGGGAGGCGAGTGTGGAGGTAGGCATGTGGGAGGCGAGTGTGGAGGTCGGCATGTGGGGGAGACAGTGTGGGAACCAGTGAGACAACCAGCGACCTTTGAACAACCATTACATCTACACGCTATAATCGAACCACCAGACACACACACACACACACACACACACACACACACACACACACACACACACACACACAATCAGCACAAACTGCCTCCTTAAAACGTCATTTTCCTCACCATCTGCCTACCTCTTCAACCTGCAAACATTACCTATTCACCCCCCCACACACAAGGTAATAGGGAATTGATGAGGAAGATAGAGAGGGAAGGAAGAGTGCCTCCACACACACACACCTGATATGCATTACACCTTTGACCAGAACACCTGCAACACCAAACACCTGCGACGCACATACCACAACAAGTGCACACGTACTGAGAGCCACCAACACCTGAGGCATACAAGGTGAGCTTCTTCAGGTCTCACACAGCAGCGGAAGTGAAGCATCCTCCCCCACAGTGTTTACCAGTCGACAGTAACTCAACCAACAAACTAAGATCACCTGGCAGATACAAACACATCCATACTATGAGCATTTTAGGGGGTGATTTATTACCTCGATATAGCTTATGTTTTTGTCTTTCTATTTAAAACGAACGCCATCACCTACGGGTTTGGGCAACTCGTGATTATAATGTTCCCGTGATAATCTCTCTCTCTCTCTCTCTCTCTCTCTCTCTCTCTCTCTCTCTCTCTCTCTCTCTCTCGGTTCAACACAGGAATATACCACCGTATACCTGTAATTAATACCTGAATCTGTACTCTTTAGATATGATAATTTTGAATAAAGTTTCATAATCGGAATAACTTTCTATATTTATGATATCCTTAAGACGTTCTTTAATAGTTACTTATAATCCTTCAGTGGTGGATGCGTCTAGCGTGGGGGCCTTGTGAGGTGGTCCCAACACAGGTATAGGACCAGTCGACATTGGGACACCGTTTCGAGACCCGTTTCCCCGAGACCCGTTCCTCGCCGCTCCGACAACAACGGGAAACGGTGCATAAATAAACATACAGAAAAAAATATTATATACGTATTTATTTTACCTGTTTAACGTGTGAGGGTTCTGTGGGTAGCTGTTTATCCCGTTGGTGTGGGTGTGGGTGTGGGTGTGTGTGTGTGTGTGTGTGTGTGTGTTGTGTGTGTGTGTGTGTGTGTGTGTGTGTGTGTGTGTTGTGTGTGTGTGTGTGTGTTGTGTGTGTGTGTGTGTGTGTGTGTGTGTGTGTTGTGTGTGTGTGTGTGTGTGTGTGTGCTGTAGCGTCGGGGAAGAACCTCTACCGTCAGCTATACCTACAGAGAAACTTAGGCAGGAGGTACTGTACTGTCATCCAGTGATTCTCTGAAAACCTACCGTCAGCTGCGTCAACGTAAGGGAGGGAGGAGTCAGGTGTACAGTATAGCCTCACGTAAAGCTATCATCAGCTATAACCCACCAACAACAGCAGGAGGGAGGCGGGACAAGCTCTCTTGACTGATACATACATACATGCATGCATACATACATACACGCAACCCCCCCCTCCTCTACTTTACACACACAGACACGCCTTCATACACACACCCCCCCCCCCTCTCCCTTTCACACACACAGACGCACTTCACATACACACAACCTCTCTCTCTCTCTCTCTCTCTCTCTCTCTCTCTCTCTCTCTCTCTTCCTCTCTCTCTCCTCTCTCTCTCTCACACACACACACACACACACACACACACACACACACACACACACACACACAGCTGGGAGACACGCTAAATTCCCACGCAGAAATGAGGGATTTTGACACAAATAGAAAATGGTATATTATTTCCAGGTCGAGGGAGAGTCCATTCTTCTGGCCGGGGGGGAGGGAGGGAAGAGGAGGAGGAGGGACAGGGAATTACAACATCGTTCTTCCTTCCGCCCTCTCTCTTCCTACGCTTATCCTTCCTCCTTCCCTCTCCTCCTCCTCTTAACCTATGCTTCTCCTTCCTTCATCCTCTTTTCCTTCCTTTCTCTGCTCTATTCCTCCCCTTATCCTATCTCCCTCCTCATTTTCCTCCCTTCCACTCCTCTTATCCTATCCCCTTCCTCCCTCTCCACTTCCACCTCTTATCCTTATCCTTCCTTCCTTCCTTCCTCCTTCCTCATCCCACCTACAACCAGATAACAATTTTCAAGAAGTTCGTATTTTTTTTTCACGGTCGAGTCTCAGTATAATTTTGACTCCATAATCAAGTCATCGTCAAGTATCAGTTCATTTCTAGCGCCACTTCGTTCTAATTCCTTAAAAAATATATATATATTTATATATCTTAAGGCAATTCAAGCATCATTTTAAGGACGCCATTGTTTTTGAGGCATTCCTAATAACAAATAAATAAATAAACTCCATATATCAAAATTAAGCTGCGTTTCCCCCTGACCAATTAGAGGGCGAGAGGAACATAAAGGTGAGATTCCATAGAGAGGATGATGGCAGGGTGGACCATCTGGGTGGGTTGGGGGTGTAATGACTTCCTGTGGTCGTTGGACAGTTACGGGTTAGTGGCAGTGGCGTGACGAGGCAGCTTTCTTGTAGTACGGTGATTATGTCTTTCTCCTGATGATACCGAGTTCCTCCTCTCCCTCCCCCCCCTCCTACCTATCCTACCTCCTCACTTGTTACCTGTCTGAGTACTCTTTACCTGTCCACCTGCTTGTCTCTATGTCTGTCCATGTTACCTGTCAATCTGCTTGTGTAGTCTTACCTGTATATTTGATTGTTTTCTTTACCTGTCAACCTACATGTCAACTCTACCTGTTCACCTGTCTGTCTCATCTCTACCTGCCTGTTCACCTGTCTGTCACCTCTACCAGTCCACTTACCTACTCACTGTCCCTAACTCTATCCACCTCCAAAATCCCTCCCTATATGCCTCCACATCCACCTACTCTCTCTCTCTTCTACCTATCCATCTACCCCCCTCCCATACCCTTTATCAATTGTGCTATGTAACGCATTCTAAGTCCTTGTCCCTATATATCTCTCTCTCTCTCTCTCATATCAATTCTTTCTCTCCCTCCCTTCCTTCCTCCATGTACGCATATTAAGCTTGATAGGTACACACACACACACACACACACACACACACACACACACACACACACACACACACACACACACACACACACACACCGTCTTCCTGTTCTGCTACGTACATTTGGTTTGTCATGGTTTTTAAAGACTCGAGTTAAAACCACGCTAAAACCTCCCCGGATTTAAAGACCTAAAGAGCTACAGTACCCGGCCATCAGGTTTTCTACAGCGGTTTTTTTTATTAAGGTTTTTCTGTTCTTTAATTACGTAGTTGTGTTGGTAAATCTGACCTTAGTTTAGATGGTTTACACTAGTCTTTAACTTTTGTCTCAGTTGGAAGTATTACCACAGTGGCAATATTTTTGGGGCTGGTTCTCGGTATAACACCCATATATAATACATTTTTATTAACAGGAAAAACATAATAAAATAATAAAAATATATATATAAATACGATGCTGATGTTACTACTAATTATTATTTTTATAACTGTATGTATAATGTTTTATTATTTCGGTAACCGTAGCGGTATTATCAATGATAAATATAATTAAACTATTACCACCAATAGTTAGGACAAAAATATCAGTAAAATGTAAACAATAAAATTAATATTACTAATAGCAACATTAGTTATAATCAAAACAATAGTATCGTGATAATAGCAATGACAAAAATAATAAAACAAAAAATATTAATACAAAAAACAACAAATGATGATGATGACGATAATAACAAAATAAAAACAAAAAAATAACAAAAACATAATAAAATAAACAATAATAATAATAACAACAATAACATAACAAACACCAAGTACCATTTTCCACCACACCAAATATTTCACAAGAGCTGTACAACAATGAGGAATTTTTTCGTTGGGGGGAAATTTCACGTTCGAGGGAAATTTCAAAGGCGGGAGTGACGGCAATAATGTGCATTTTATATATCATATCACATGGTCGTATAATAATAATATATCGTGGACCACCTAAAGATTCTCCTCCCCACCTCCAGCGTATATCACCTGAAGATTAACCACTCTAATACTATTTGGGGTGTGTGTGGTTAGGTTAGGATGGTTTAGGTACAATGACTTAATCCCTTGAGGACGATGACTTAACCCCTTGAGGACAATGACTTAACCCCTTGAGGACGATGAAAACCCTTTGAGAACGATGACAACCCCTTGAGGACAATGACTTAACCCCTGAGGACGATGACTTAACTTGAGGACGATGAAACCCTTTGAGAACGGAGACTTAACCCCTTGAGGACGATGACAACCCTAAGAACGATGATAACCCTGAGAACGATGACTAATCCCTTGAGGACGGACTAAACCCCTGAGAACGATGACTTAAACCCTTGAGGACGATGACTTAACCCTTGAGGACGATGACTTAACCCCTGAGAACGATGACTAAACTTCGAAAACGATGACTTAACCCTTGAGGACGATGACAACCCCTTGAGAACGATGACAACCCCCTGAGAACGATGACTAACCTTCTGAAAACGATGACAACCCTTGAGGACGATGACAACCCTTGAGAACGATGACAACCCCGGAAACGATGACTTAACCCCTGAGGACGATGACAACCCCTGAGAACGATGACTTAACCCTTGAGGAGACGATGACAACCCCTGAGAACGATGACTTAAACCCCTGAGGACGATGACTTAACCCCTGAAGACGATGACTAACCCCTGAAGACGATGACAACCCCTGAGAACGATGACTTAACCCCTGAACGATGACTAAACCACCTGAAGAACGATGACAACCTCCTAGAGGACGATGACTTAACCCCTAGAGAACGATGACTTAACCCCTGGAGAACGATGACTTAACCCCCTGAGAACGATGACTTAACCCCTGAGAACGATGACTTAACCACCTATTAGACTACAACAATAACAAAATTAAA